CCAGAGCGACCTTCTGTGCCTCAACTTCTAAGCGAGTAGGGTAGCGATGAATGACTTGGGGTGTTGAGATCCAGCAGTATGTTGGCTGGCGAAGTCAGGCCACCTGTCTCTGAAGAACTCTGCAGTGGGAAAAACAACGAACGAGAAGTGTAAACACGTGTGGCAGTCCACAGTGTGATACGTGCCATAGCCGAGATTTATAGGAAGAGACAGGACCCTGGAAAAGAATCCTGCCTGGGAAGGTTGTGGCAGACTGAGGAGGAGAGCAAGTGACGAGTACTTAGGAGGGAGGCGGCGCTATTCTAGGCCAGAGGGAACAGTTTGTGCACAACTTGGAGATGTGACAGCGTGCGGTATTTTAGGGGACTGGCCCATTGTCCCACGTGGTAGGGAGTTTCAGATACAGGACTGTCACATGGACTGAGGCCCAGCCACAATACATTGTGAAGGACTTGGCGAGCCCCAAAGAGCACGTGAGGGTTTCTGACATGATTGGATTTTTGATACTTGTTCCGACAGCCAGAGCTTCCCCGTCAAGAATGCCAAGTCCACAGGCGGCGGGGTCTTGGCCGCAGCGATGATCTCTGGGGGCCGTGGTTCTTCATCACCGCTTACCGGATCCTGCTGCTGCCGTTCCTGTCTATTTCCAGCAAACCAACGACAATGTAAACACCTGTTTTCCTTTGGCCGCAGAACACAGCATAGTTTTATTAGCAGCAGAGCTAGGAAAAAAAACAACCTACTTCTCCAAAGCATGGTCTTGTTTTCCAGCTTGCTGCTCTCCCCGAGAGGCTTCCTGGTGGGGACTCCTTCCTTTGAGTTCCTTCCCCTCTGCTGTGTGCCCGATAAAGGAAGCGGCCTCAGCTCTGAAGGAGTTTGACTTCATTCAGTTTTTTACATCTATGCTGTTCAGGGGGCTTTATTCTTTTCAGTTCTCCAACCAGATTTCGGAATTAGATCCTGATCAGCAGGTGCTTGTGCAGAAAGCTGGGTTGGGGCAGGGGCTCAGTTCTCGGAGGCTTTCTTGGGTGCAGGTGGGTGGCCCCAGCAGTGTGGCCACTAACGAGGGCAGCAGGAGCTCATTCTTTCTGCCTCACGGTGTGCCACAGTCCTGGCTACATGTCTTCTCCTCTTTGCCAAGGGCTGTCTCTCCACTCTTGCCCTTCAGGATCTATGGATTTCCTTTGCCTCGTCATTGCCATGTGCTTTCCTGACTCCCACCCTGCACCTTCCTCCCTTTCTGCATTCCTGGTCCTCACGCTGGCCCACTGGTTGATAAAAGAACCCTTGATTGAGCATACCCTCACTCTCCTCTTTTAAAGTCATGGGTGTTTGATACCGATGCTCCCATTCTCTGAGGGCCCTGCTGGTGTGGAGCACGGTGTTCATTGTTTAATGGTTTTGCAGCTCTTCTCACCCTTAGAGCAACCCCTGCATCCCTTATACTTGGTTGTATTTCTATCTTGTGGATCAGGAACAGACACGTTACAGGCTACAGGTAGTGAGGCCGGGAAGGATGGCCGCAGTTAGGCCAGCGAGCCGGGCATCTCCCATACATGTAACACACGAGTCTAAGCTCTTGACTTAGCTGTGGACCTGGTCCACTTGATCATCAGTCAGGAGCCCTCTCGACTTTTTCTTTAACAAACAAATAAATCTCAGCTTTTATAATTGAGACAGACATACAGAAAAGGGCATGAATGGTGTGTGTATAGCTAAGTGACTTTGCACCAAGAGTACTGAAGAAGCCCTTCTTGTGTCCTCTCCAGTAGCTGAGGGGAACCCCCCCCCTGGGTTAACATCACAGATGAATTCTGCCTGTGTTTGAAATTCTATAAATCCAATCCTTCCATATGCATTCTTTGGTGGCTGGCCTCTTTCTGAATTCAGGCTTGGGAGATATTTATAAATCCTCACTATGTGTTTATAAATTCCCCTTCCTGGTTGATTTTACTTTTCCTGGCTCTTCAATAAGTAGAGAATCTAAGTTTCCTTCTGGGATGTATTTAACGTCGTCATGATACGTCAGCAGCGTGGCCTTTTCTCATCGATATGCTTGTGTCTTGTGTTCCTGTAGGTGAATAATTCCAGACTCTTGTCTGCTCCCCTGATTTTTCCTTCCAGTTGATCCCTCTTTGAGATCCATCAGCCCTTTCTGTCGTTCTGGTTTGTTCATTTGATCAGGCTCTCCAGCACTGCAGGCGGCACCGGCTTCCTGTGAGGCCCCCTGTGACTGATGTATTAACATCCCTGTGCATTTCCCCGGGGACCCAGAAATGTGCCCAGCTTCTGGCAGCAGTTCACTGCTCTGTGAATCAATTTTAAATTGCCTCAGTATGATGATCACAGACCTCCTGTGTGGTTTAAAGAAGAAGACACCTGGGAGGGAGGTGGGTGTCTTCCAAAAAGGAGCATGCAGCTCTTGTCTACACTTTGTGCTTCTGTTTTAACCTGGAACATTGAACTCAGTAACACTGAACTCAGTAACAAGGTTTCCAATTGAAGCAAGGTAAAATTTTCTTCCCCTAAAAATCCAGAATTGCTGAAAGGGTACCTGATGGAGAGTTTGCCTCCCTGGAGGTGCCCGCCTTGATTTATGGCAGACAAAGAAACGGACTTTCACGTGTGCTATTATTCTCTTAAAGAAAGCTTTAAGAGGCAGGTTCTCCCCCCATGTCAACCACTGTTCTAACCAAATACGTTCCGTTTGATTGTTTCATGAAAACACTCTGGTCATTTTTCCAGCTTTACCTAGTTCATTGTTTGTCATTTTCAGACCCAGCTTAGGGGGTCACATAATTGCTCCTGGACCTTGAGGAATTTCTTCTAGAACATGAATAGAGTTAAACTCCAGCTCTTGTGGTCCCATCTTCAAGGGCAGTACAATGCTATTTGATCCCAACTCCGAATATCCCATAATAAATGGCATAGGTTCAATGCACGTGTATTAAAATACCATGTGGGCTTGATATGTTAACTAAGGACACCAAAGGATACTGTTGGATAAAAAAATAAGGGATTTAGTGGCTTGTTTTGATGTAAGGGCTTTGAGCTATAGTTGTTTTGTATATTAATTTTCTAGTACATTCTGTAGGGTTCCCATTATGTGTGCTCAATGATTCAAATTAAGAGGAATGTTAAGGTTTTGGTCCAGCTAGCCATGTAATATTAGTTTTTGGAACCAGTTTGTCAGGAAATAACATATTTCTAAGATCGTGTCGTTTGGTTGGGAGAAGGGGAAGTTCTTTCTCAAGCCTTCATGTATTTGGTATTTTGCTTTCATAGAGTGAAAACAACAGCATATATTTTCTTCTCAAGCTTAGGGAAGTATGTAGGTTTTATGTGCGAGCAGGTTGGAAATCTGATAACCCTGTTTCAGTTTTCACTTTTGTGCATGCTAAGTTATTTTACAGAATTTGAGTTAGCATTAACATGAAAATTTGACTTCTGTGTTAATACCCATGGTCTTTAGATCTGTAAAGGGACGGCAAGGTGCCAATGACAAGTTCCATAAAGGGCCCAGGCGGATTTATCCCAGTGGGTCAGGGACAGGAGGAAACTCTACATACTTCATTTGTTATGTATGCAGACCTATAGAAAAGGCCTCATGTTGAACTTCTAGAATGCCTAGTGTTGGCTTCAGATAGAAAGAAAGTGAAAGCAGTGGTCTTCAAAGTGCATAATTCCATCCGTTTGGATGTTGGGGTGGATATTAGCATTTCTGCATCTTCCACCCTCTAAAGTATCTTTTCTTTTGTGCATGTTTTATAATGCCTGTGATACATTAGTGCTTGGGTTTTAAATCATTAGATCTTAAAAGCGTACAATATGCTTTAAGATTTTGGGGTGGAAACAAGAATGTCCTAGGATTAGGTTTGTTCGTATTGAGCACAGGAGGAAAACAGTGGCTTGAAGTAACATAGAAGTTTATTTCTCTCTCCCGTAAAAAGATAACCGGCTGTCAGCAGGGCTCTGCATCGTTTGTGTTCCACTTCCATCAGCAATTGATTTCCATCTTCAGAGTCAGCTTGTGGCCCCCAAGGGCTGGTGGAGCTCACGGCACCTTGCTCATAGTTAAGGCAGTAGGAAGGAGTAAAAGAGGGCAGGCAGGAACCCCGATGCTCCTCCCCTTTTAAAATTCCTTTTCTTTTAATTAATAAACTTTACTTTTTAGAGCAGTTCTAGGTTCATAGCAAAATTGAGCCAAAGGTACAGAGAGCTTCTGTATCCCCCCTGGGGCCCCTTTCTTTCAGGTTATGAGCTTAGTGCCACCCAGCAGCGCATGTATGTTGAGCCACGTACATCTCAGTGGTGGGAACGTGGCGAAGCAAAGAGTAGCTTTTCTGCCTTAGATAAAACTGGGGTTCGTGGCCATAGGAGACGGGGAGATTGTCGAGGAGAAAACTTGAAATCTATCATCAAGCTATTTGATGTAAGAGAATCTTTTACTATTTTCTCTTGATTATGCAAAAGAGAGTAAATTCAAGCCTGAAACTGGTGCATTGAGGAAACTGTTTTTGTTTGTCAGTGTTGAAATACACTGTTCACTGTGTGAAATGTAATACGAGTTCTTAAGGGCTTCATCTGAAGCATAAAAAATAATCGTTTAAAATTATGCTAAGAAATCATACAATTATCCAAGGTACATGGAAGGAGGTATTTTATGTTAATTTGGAAGCGTAGTTAGCATTTTATATGGGATTGGAAGGAATGCTTTATGGAATGGTTAGACACAATTGAAAAATCGTTAAATACTTAAAAAATATAGTTCAATATACCTGTCTTTTGGTACACCCTAGGCTTCCGTTATTATGTATTTTAAATTTGCTCCTTTGGTAAATACTTCAGCTTCTATTGATCTCAAGAAAATCCTAAGGAGAATCGTTCCCTTCTTTGTCTTCCTCATAGATACTGCTGAGCTAATGATCAGCTGCTTTATGATAAATGTTTTCTCTGTCTCCTCTCCTGTCTTTCTCTCCAACCATCCCCCTCTCCAAAAGTGCATACTCCTTCCACGTCACTGCAGACGGTCAGATGCAGCCTGTCCCTTTCCCCCCCGACGCCCTCATCGGACCCGGAATCCCCCGGCATGCGCGCCAGATCAACACCCTGAACCACGGGGAGGTGGTGTGCGCTGTGACCATCAGCAACCCCACGAGACACGTGTACACGGGCGGGAAGGGCTGCGTCAAGGTCTGGGACATCAGCCACCCCGGCAACAAGAGCCCCGTCTCTCAGCTCGACTGTCTGGTGAGCGAACAGGAACTGGCGCATGAGGGTAATGTGTCCCTGGAGACTCAATAAGGAAATGGCTGTTTGGGCCTGGGTTTTATTCCCATTATGAGGAAATGGAAGCCCTTTCTGTTTCCTGTGTTAGCTAGTTAGCTCCCCCACCCCTCTCCCTGAAATGTGAACGTTTCATTTGTTGCTCTTTCGGCGGTTAAATCCCAGAGTTGATGGATTTCTTTTAAAAAACATTGTACAGTAGTTTACAGAAGCTGTCCTTGTTTGAATGTATATTCAAAAGGGGGTTTCCCATTTAATGAATGAAAGCATACCGAGGCCTGGACTCTGAGCCCTGCAATCCACCCAACTTTTAATTTCCCTTCAGCCTTCGGATAAATACTGAATAGTAAACATTTGATAACGTGGCATAAAAAAGCATTCTGAACAAGGTCTGTGTTTTCAGGGAGACCTGGGAGGGCTGGCTGGGTTTTATTACCTGAACTTCAGGAAAGGTTAATAGACCACACTGCATAAAAACGGGAATGGGGAGAATGCTTTCCCGGAGTACCCTAATCCGCCTGCTCCCAGAGTAGAATACCGTTTTGCATTTTTCAGGATCATAGCACGTGTTGGGACATGTTCCAGTCTCTATAAACTGTGATCCCAGAATTTTATAACCCACATACCACTGACGCAGAATCAGGGCCACAGTGCCTCTGATATGTGGCACGCCTAGGCTTTGCTGTGGCCGGTGGTGCGGTTTACCCATTGCCTGCCCAGCCACTGCCGAGGATTCAGGAGCCAGAGGTTTCAAAAAGAACAGTGATGTTTTTGAGATACGAAAGCCTTTTTTTTTGAGGATTACTGATTTACTTTTTTTTTTTTTTTTAGTTTAAATAATTTTTTATTGTTAGTTAATCACCATACATTACATCATTAGTTTTTGATGTAGTGTTCCATGATTCATTGTTTGTGCATAACACCCAGTGCTCCACGCAGAACGTGCCCTCTTTAATACCCATCACCAGGCTAACCCATCCCCCCACCCCCCTCCCCTCTAGAACCCTCAGTTTGTTTTTGAGTCCATCGTCTCTAATGGTTCGTCTACTGATTTACTTTTTAATCACATAACTTTAAAAGATCTCCATTAATGAAATTTCAATGTGCTTCAACATAGGCCGACATTCTATAATAGTAGGAGTATTTTGTGACACTAATCACCTTTTTTGAGATTTATGTGCTTAAAGTTTTTTCTCGTCTTTGAATAATAGGCCATGGTCAAAGCATAGCGAAAACTTCAGTTCTGTCTATTTGGGTTGAAGGATAGCAGTTATTTCCGTCAGGGAGAGGAGGGTCATTTTAGGTCCCACCTTCCTTTTTTTTTTTTTTTTCTTTTTCTTTTTCAGAGGTAGGGGCAGAGGGAGAGGGAGAGAGAGCATCTTCAGCAGGCCCCACACCCAGCACGGAGCCCATGACCCGTGATCATGACCTCAGCCGAAATCAAGAGTTGGATGCTTAACTGACTGAGCCACCCAAGCGCCCCTCCCACCTTCCTTTTTTAATATGTGCTGGTTTTGATAGAGAGATGCCCTCTTTTATCAATTTCTTTGGACTGAGAGGCTTGAATATGGCAGCAACTGTGTTACCCCTTGAGAAAGCAGCTCTGTTAAAGTCCTAATAAGGAGCCACGTGGCTAATGAAGATTCAGCACAAGCCTTAGATAGAGATTTAAGAGTAATGAAAACCAGAACGTAGGCAGCAGGTCTGCACTTTCCAAATAGTAAATAAGGGCGGGTGATGAGGTCAGAGATTTATAAACTAGCTTTGAAAAGTGGTTTCTTCACAGAGAAATACGTGCACACCTACCTCACATCCGCTGATCATTTCAGTTCTTTCTACTCAGCAGGAAACTGGATGTCAGGAAAAGTTCCATCTAAGTGTTTGCACATGCCCGAGTGAGGCTCGGAGTTTGTTTTGTTGACTGTTTCAAAGGGGACAGTTAACAATTGGAACCCGATCTTTGCTACAGACCTCTTGCTTTGCTGGTGTCCACGAAATACCACTTTTTCAAGTCAGAAACCAAGATAGCAGTTAGCATGGTATTGTTACTGCTTGGTCATGCATCATAGCAATTGAATTATGTTTATTTCACAGAACAGGGATAACTACATCCGTTCCTGCAAATTGCTCCCTGATGGCTGCACCCTCATCGTGGGAGGGGAGGCCAGTACTCTGTCCATCTGGGACCTGGCGGCTCCGACCCCGCGCATCAAGGCAGAGCTGACGTCCTCGGCCCCTGCATGCTACGCCCTGGCCATCAGCCCCGACTCCAAGGTCTGCTTCTCATGCTGCAGTGACGGTAACATTGCTGTCTGGGACCTGCACAACCAGACGCTGGTGAGGTGAGCAGCTGTGGTTTTCTAGGGTGGGGGTTCCCTCCTTGGGTACCTGGGCCTGAAGACCTCCTGCTTCTTGGGCTGCACCCAGGCTCTCAGCCCATGTGAAGAGCCTCCTGTGTGCCAGGCTTGGACAAAGTGTGGGGTGTCCCCCACACTTTCTCTTTACCTCCCCAACATCCCCATTCTTCAGCCACTTACAGATGCCAGACTTGTTCAAAATATATTCCTTACATATACATACCATGGATTACCTGGAGGTACGGATGGTCCTTAATACTAGGTGCTTTTGGCTTTGGCTAGAACCTTGTTTCTGTAAACAGGAGCCAAATGATAAAGGGTAACAGAAAATCAACAAAAGGACATTAGAAGAGGAGATTCCAGGGGCGCCTGCGTGGCTCAGTTAGTTAAGCGTCTGCCTTTGGCTCAGGTCAGGATCCCAGGGTCTTGGGATTGAGCCCTGAGTTGGACTCCCTGTTCAGCGGGAAGCCAGCTTCTCCCTCTCCCTCTCCTTCTGCCTGCCGCTCCCCCTGCTTATGAGCATGTGCTCTCTCTGTCAAATAAATTAATAAACAAACAAATATTTTTTAAAAGGAGATTCCATGAACTTTGCCCACAAAATGGTTTTAAAGTATGCATGTTTCCCAATTACTAAATCAGTGCTGTCCAGGGGTCATTCCACCCTAGGAATGAGCCCGGCTTCCTGCAATCTGTCCTCTTAACTGCAGTGACAGCCACAGTCCTGCCACCTCTGTGTCTGTCCTTGGCTCTGGCCAGTGCCTTCCCTCTGCTGAAATCAAGAGTCCACACCAGAGATGTTACAGAAAAGTCTTTACAAAGGGCAGCACTAGTTAAACATCCCAGGGAAACCTGGTGTGTATTCTGCTTTTTCATTCCCTGTTTTCTTTGCTCAGAAACGCTCTTCGTTTATGGTGTGGTGTTAGGCTGGTGGATGATTTAGTGGGGCTCCATTGATGCTTTGGGTCCATGTGCCAGAGCGAATGGATGGACTTTCGAAGTCATTATAGCAGCTTCATCTCCCTCCAAACCTCCTCCATAGGAATCCAGTCAGTGTCACTGAGCCGGGCTCTGTCCCTGTGTGTGGCTGATGCCGTGACCATTATTTTTCTCTTGTCATGTGCTGGGCAGCTCAGAATGATCACAATGGACACACGTAGCCAGAGCTGACAGCCCCTTCAGACTTTTAGCCTGGCCAGTGTTTGCTGTTTTTTTCTGTTCTTTTTTCTTTTTTTAAAGAAATCTGAATAAGTAGCACTTTTAAAATTTTAATGCTAAGGGCTTTTCAAATATTAATCCATTTAATCCTTATAACGTCTGCACTGCTATTATCCCCGTTTTATAGGTGAGGAACCTGAGGCACAGAAAGGTTAAGTCTGCCTGCCTGGCTCACACAGTCGGGTGTGGGGGAGATGTGATGGGGTGCAGGCATGCTGTTCGCATGTCTGTGCTCCGAACCCCTGCTCTGTGCGGGCCCCCGGGAGTAAACACCTGCTGGATATAATGGGGTAGTGCTTTTATGAATGTCTTGCCCACTTTGGGTTGGCCACATGTGGCTAACGGCTACTCTGTGTGAGAGGGTGGCATGGAGTCTGCTGAGTATCTCAGTATTTACTGAGACCCTGCGTGGTCTAAACCTACCTTCTGGGAGCCTAAGAGTAGCGCTGAGATTTGTGGACAGAGGGATGGAGGAACATCCACCAGGTGCCTGAAGTCCGCAGAGAAAGGCATGTGTAGTCAAGGAGTAAAGTATTTCATGAGTTCTAGAGAAGGCAGAGGTGAAATGCAGAGAGGTCATTGGGTTTCCAGAGCAGTCTGAGGGAAGGGATAGCAGAACTTTCAAAAGATGAATCTGGGACTTCAGTAGTCCCGCATGACCTATGGGGAGTCTTGGAGGAAAGTGGGGCTGGTTGGGGTACGTGTGCCTGGGATGGGGTGCGGACGGTTGGGTGCGTGCAGGAGAGAGGACTAAGATGGACATTCAGAATAGCTTTTGGAGGAACGGTTTTTGAAGTGATAGTTCTTGTCTCAGAATTCATGGCAAGTGGTGCTTTTGTCTGGTCTTACACGCTCTTTAAATTCTAAGCTCAGTTTAAAAGTTTGGAGTTCTGCGGGAACAATAAGGTGAGGGGGACCTAGAGGAAGGACAGACGTGGAAACTCTGGGTGTTGAAATTCCCAAGCCACTCTAATGAATCCCTCCTGGGTTGCCGTAGTGACTGGGCCTGTTCTGGTCACGTCCCTGCTGGCTCCCTCTTGGCATGCAAAACCAGGTCCAGATCCACAAATCACCAGCCCTGCAGTGGCTCACCTTGGACTGTCCCTCAGCAAACCCCCCGCCTTGGTCTGGCAGAGCATCGGCACTCTGCAAATCCCTATTGGTTGATTGGTTTTGGTAGTGTTTTTTGACTAAAGCACAAGAGTTCCCTTTAAGAGAACAACCTTAGGGTCAGCTTCAAGGCAGGGTCCCCGCTGAGGTGCCCATGGGTCAGCCTCAGCAATTAGCTTTGTCTCATGCTGCCCCTGAATCAGGAGGCCAGCATGACCCTTTGTGTCTGGGAGTCCAGATTTCCTAATGCAGGGGTCTTTCTAATACAGAAAGCAAGGTTGAGTAAATATGTGAGCTCATGCTTTGTTGCCATGAAGGGCATTGCTGTGTGGATTCACTCATGGAAAAGTAAGTGCTTCTGGACCCTGAGCTCGTAATGTTGTGATGCAGGCCTATATCTTTCTTTACAGAATATACTTGGGATTCTGTGTGTTTGTCCTTCCCCCCCGCCACCCCCCTTCAGCACTCAAACACTTTTCCAGACTTGGGAGGAATTTTCCCTTCCAGACAGATTTGTAAGAAGAGCTATAAGAGTGTATTTTACTCCTCCCATGTGATGACCTAAAATGGCATTCCACGTCTTTAGCACTTGGACCGCGAAAAAAGAAAAGGAAACTCTGCAGGTGCTATTCCCTCCTCGGGGGAAGGTTAGTGTGATCTTGCACATCAGCAGACACTGAAGAGATGACACACGCACACCGAGTCCAAAGCTAACAACACAACAGTGTTTACCTTGAGCTTGGGCAGGAAATCATTATTCAATCTGGTTTGTTTTATCAGGCAATTCCAGGGCCACACAGACGGGGCCAGCTGTATTGACATTTCTAACGACGGCACCAAGCTCTGGACAGGCGGCCTGGACAACACGGTCAGGTCCTGGGACCTGCGCGAGGGGCGGCAGCTGCAGCAGCATGACTTTACCTCCCAGGTGACGGGCTCCCCACTCCCTGCCCCCGGCAATCTCTGACGTGGTCTGCGTGTGGCATCCTTCTCCCTTCTTCACACCCCACCATAGTAAGAACAAGGCAGATAGACCAGCCTTGACTCTGAGACGCTGATTTAAAACAAACAAAAACAATCCCCACAGACAGACAGCGTCCCTGAAATGCTTAGAGTGGTTTCTAAAACCCTATCGGTGAAGACCTATTAGTTTTATTTATGTACGAGTTCACTGAAGGAACTTATTCAGTGAAGAGCCTACAGTTTGACCTGTTGGAACATATTCCCACCGTCCAACGTGGCGGTGAGAGATGATTATTTGATTCACATATAAAGAGAGCTTGAAAAATAGGCAGGGTTATCACGAGGAGTCGAGAAAAAATCACAACAGCCCTGAAAGTTAATTCATTTCCCTTGCATTAGGGGGCTTAAAAAAAATGCGGTGGTGTCTCCGCGGATGCCCATTTTATTATTCATCCCTGGGAAAATGGACTCGTGGCTGACTAGATTGATGGAGGTTTGAAATGATATGAAATGGCAACTTTGTGGATTGTGGAGATGAGTTAGATGTCGAGTGTCTGAATCTAGACTTGTTTTGGGGAAAGATGGTGCCATTTTACGTGTCTTCTGTGGGTGGAATTGTTCTTTTGATCATTACTTGCATACAGCTATGCATATTACTCAATTTCATGTCCTTGTTAATCTTTTGTGGAGTTTCTTAGAGTCTTCCTCATTCCAGCCCTTTTCCCAGTATAAGCTAGGGTACTGTTTTTGGTCTGCCTTTTTTCAAAAAAAAAAAAACTTTTTATGGAAAATTTCAAATATACATGAGTGCAGAGAACGCCCTAGCATACATGGAAGTACAGAGAAGGTCCAGTAAACTCCACTTGCCCATCACTGAGCTTTACAGTTCCGAACCCATGACCTGTCTCCTGTATCATCCCTGCCCCCAAACACTGGATCATTTTAAAGTAAATCGTATTATTTCATCCACAAGCATCCCAGTTAAGTATCTGCAAAAGACAAGGACCACATTAGAACACACATACACACACAGATGTCCTTATTCTTAAGAATAATTTCTTGGGGGCACCTGGCTGGCTCAGTCCGTAGAGCATGTGGCTCTTGATCTCGGGGTCGTGAGTTCAAGCCCCACATTGGGGGTAGAGATGACTTAAATACGTAAAATTTAAAAAAATAACTTCATCACATGTGATGTACGTATTCCAAGCTTTCTGATTGTTTTCATAAAGATGTTTAACACTTGGCTGGTCTGTGTTGGGTCTCTTGTCTTGTGGACTATACTGCAGTCAGGAGTTTGCTGATTACATCCCCCTCTCCTTGCTGTTTTACCCCCATTTCTGGTTGCCATTTCATTTCTCGGTTTATTGGGCAAAATCACTAGCGAGCCTGTTCTGCTTCCTACAGATCTTCTCCCTTGGATACTGCCCAACTGGGGAGTGGCTGGCCGTGGGCATGGAGAGTAGCAATGTGGAAGTTCTTCACGTAAATAAGCCTGACAAGTACCAGCTGCATCTCCATGAGAGCTGTGTGCTGTCCTTAAAATTTGCTTATTGTGGTGAGTTGAGCTGAAAGGAAACTGGAGGACACCAGTGGCCTCAATGGAAAATATTTCTTAAAAAAAAAATACAGTAGAGATCATGTCTGGAAAAAATGTTCTCTGAGCAACTGGATGCAATAATTCTGTTGTCTTAATATGTCCCTCAGAGCATAGTGACATCCATTTCAGCCTATTTTCCTAATGTGAGAATAGTCAGCAGGGGATGCAGTTGCCTAATACAAGGTTTTGACACAGATTTTTTTTTTTTTCTTAAGCGGGGGAGTCTGGAGCAGAGGTGGAGGGCAATTAGTTACCACTCTGAAAGGGGGCAGGATTTATAGAAGCCTGGGGCAGCCACGTTGGAAGTTCTTATAGACTGAGCAGCATAGGGGACTAGGATCAGAGAAGGGCACACTCAGCTTGCCCCACACTGTTACATACTTTGCGGTGAAGATGAAGAGGGAAGAAGTTCACACGGGGTCAAATATTTGTTCTTGGGATGGGTGGAGGGATGAGTAGCTGTTAGTCACTGAGCCCATTCTATCTGGCATTTTACTTAAGTTCATCATTTAATCCTCCCCAGTCCCAATTTCATCATGAAGAAATGGACTAAAAGGGCAGCAGCTTCATCGAGTCAGTATTTGAGGACCCACTGTGTGCTGGGTGTGATGCTGTCCCAAGTGTATCCGGTGGCTCGTGGGGCTGACGCAGTCCCTGCCACTGCTGAGACAAAACCCAAGACCACAGATGGCTCACAGTGGAGCCCCGATTTAAAGCCTGCTGTCTCTCCTCCTGTCCTAGGCCAAGCCCTTGGACATGATAGTTCATGATTAGAAATGCTCTGAGTTTGATGAAGTCCAGGTGGCTAATAGTATAGGAGGAATTTTCAATCGTGTTCACCTCCGTGTTCCTTTGCTAACTCTAGGTAAGTGGTTTGTAAGTACTGGCAAAGACAACCTCCTCAATGCTTGGCGGACCCCCTACGGAGCTAGTATATTCCAGGTAAGTAAGTCAGTGCTCCTTACCCAGAATGACCGTTTGATCAGGGCATTCTCCATGACTCCGGCAGTGAAGGCACCTCGGGGAGGAGCAGGGCCCCTGAGCAGCTCTGTTCACATTAAACCTGCGCCCACTGTTTTCTCTTCCAGTCCAAAGAGTCCTCGTCCGTGCTGAGCTGTGACATCTCTGTGGATGATAAGTACATAGTCACTGGCTCAGGGGACAAGAAGGCCACAGTCTACGAAGTCATCTACTGAAAACATGATGTGGTTTAACGTTTAGAGTTGAATCGGGCCAAAATGTTTTGAATTTGTAGAAATAGAAAAGTTGTAACTTTAAAAGGAAAAAAAAACAACCACGAAAACCTGTTTCCAAACCTTGACACAAAACTACTTTGAGTCTACAAAGAGGAGGCGACGAATCCATCAACTGAAGGTCACCCATCTACGTAGACCAAACGGAGCACCAAGGCAGAGTGGACAGAGGGGCCAAGGGGAGTAGGCAGAGCCTCTTCTTTCCTGTCTGTGTGGTCTGCCAAGATTACCTTCCTGTTCCTTGCAGTTCCCCTCACCTTCTGTGCTTGGTAGAGCAGTGGTGTCTCCAATGAACTTGTTTCCTGGTTTTGCATCTTGTGAAATGTTTTTTTGTATTTTTGTTGAAGGTTAAACATTTGTATAAATTGTAAATATATTTGGTTTATTACAGTAAAGGCTTTAGTACCAATAAGTGGTTTTCCTTTTCCTTCTTTGTTGTTTTTATCAAAGCATTGGGATCACTCATGTGGGTTTTAGAAGCAAAGTCCACACATGTGCAGAGGAAGTTTAAGCATGCACTTTTGAATTTGCAAACAGATTCGGTTGTGGGCTCTGGCGCACTGCACTGGCACCTAATCAACACTTCTGAGTTAGTGGGAACTCAGGACCAGAAATAGTCAGTACTTGAAGGTTTACTCATGACACTTTTATTTGGGAAGCTAAAATAACTTTATCAAGATTCATGTTTTTTTAAAGATACTCTTGTGATTGGAGGTCAGAAATTAAAGCTCTGCTTTTTCTTGGTGATTCCCTGGGAGACAGGATATCCTCTTCTCTGGGAGAGTCCAGCATCTTCAGATCTTTTATTGTCTCCCTTGGCAAGCGTCACATCTCAAGACATGTGGGTGACTTGTGTTCAGTGTTGGGATTGATGATGTTCACAAACCTGTAAAGGAAAGGTGGGATGCCAACTGGTTTTGTCCCGTTAGTACTTACTTAATCTATTATATGTGTTGACCTGAGCCAGTCACACCCAGCACTGAGCCCCATTCTTCTCATTAAGGCTTTCCCTGCAGCTTCTAGCCATTGCGATCTCTCATTAGTCTGGTCTTCCTCTTGGTGGACAAGCTTTTATTAATTTGATCAGATGAAACCTGTAACCCTGGGCTTTTAATAAATTGACCATGCATGTTTCCTCCCGAAAAGGCTATATGGCTATCTTTGCATACCTGTTATTTACTGTTATATTTTAGAAAATAACGGTTAATATTTTTAAACCACGTTTCCTGGCTATTTAAAAATAGCACCTAAGGAAGTTTTAATGTTCTTGTTTTCTTAGGATCCAGCAAGTTGTTGGCAGTTTGTCTTAATATTTTTCATTTGTTATCTAGACCTTCTTGTTTTTATACATTTAGCAACATTATTTTGTTTGCTTTTTGCCAAAATAATATTTGTTTATGCAGAGAGTTTGTTAAATATTTTCTCTTCTCATTAAGTGAATGGCGGAGCCCTAATTACTAAGGCTGATTTCTTTCTCATCCCTTCCTCGTATAATGAGGTACGTTTCTATACTACAGTCTCTTATGGCTTATTAATATAGTATTTATCTTTTCTGTTGTCTCTCCTTTCCTGCCTGCCTCCCTTATTTTCTGTAATAGGAGGGGAGAAGTTACGTTGCTACAACAGAGACCCACCAGTACAGTGGCTTAGAGACCACAGGGGTTTCTGTCTCCCCTAGAGACCCAGACCAGCAGTGTAGCTCTTTGTTTTCATGCTTGCTTCCCTTGCCCCCACTTCTAGCCAGCAGTGGGGAAAGTGAAAGTCCAAGGAAACGGATGTCCTTGCAAGCAGGTGACTGAAGAATCTGGTCATTATTTCTATTGGCTGGGACTTAGGCGGGAGGACTGGGAAGTGGAGTCTCTTGATTGCTGTGCAGCTGTGTACCTGCCCATCAGGAAGAGGGGGAGCATATTTGAAAGGACTCTGGGTTAAAGAAATAGTCCTGTTTTCTGTTGGTGCATTTTTTCCTTCCATGCTTTCTTGTTTCCCATGCTTCTGATATTCTTTCTCTAGTGAGATTTTCTGAGGGTCTAGACCTTACAGCTCATCGACTATCTTGAATCTGATGAAACCACTTCATTTGCTAGTGAGGTACTGGAAGAGGCATTTGAGGGCTGGTCCTACTCCTCTGCTCAGCGTGTTTGGAATCTTGGGGAATTGCTGAGACAATTGCTTGCCTACTCATAAAATGGAAATGATACAGTAGTCGTGCCTGCTTCTCTGAGTCTTGGGGATCAGAAGCAGGTATGTGATGCAGGACTGAGTGGCAACTGTCTCACAATTGGGGGATATGAGTGGGAAAGCGATTTCTTCCTAAACTGAAATTAGGAGTCACGCTTCTGTCCCCAAGGAGCCTGGAATCATGGGGTTGTTGAAACCCTGGTAAGCCAAACATTGGTATACCCCATGCCTTGAATATGGATTATAAATTCAGATTCAGTAAATTCAGGTTCAACTAGACATTGATCACCTGTGTGTGCCAAGAGCTGTGCTAGGCAGTTTCACCTATAAAAATGTTAGGAGATGATTGTCATTATCCCTAGATGTATTTAATCTTGGTTTTTTTTTGTTTTTGTTTTGTTTTGGTTTTTTTTTTTTTTGGTCACTCGCAGTCTTTGTACCTTGAATGTGGGTTTCTGCCATGTGACTCTTCCATGGAATTGAAATTCTCTGGGTAAAAATTGAAATCCTAGTGAGATTAGGTTGGAATGCCTTTTGGTAACTAGATGTTTCTAGCACTTAAAATAAGGACAAAATATTTCATCAATATGATGATTAAGTTTTTTTTTAAGTTTGTGCTATTTGCCAGGTGGTAGGGAGGTGTTTGACATAAATTATAATCTTCACAGTGGTTGAGAGATGGGATTTTTGATGGCCTAATTGTTGTTGTTGTTTTTTTTTTAATTTCATGACTGGTAAGTAGCATCTGGTTTTAAAGCCATAGAGCATTCATACAGAGATTTTAAAAAAATGGCATTTGTGCTAATGGCCCACAGAGGTTGTGACTTTCCGAAATGAGTTTTCCAACAAACTGGAGAGATCAAATTCTTAACTTAAGCATGCTGCTTCATGCCATCAGGAGACTGCTGCCTCTGTCATCAGCTTGAAATTGAGTGATGACATTTCAAGCCCCCCACTCTGCTCTCGATCCATGGATTTTTTTTCTTCTCGGATATCTTCTCTTCACTCTTCGCTCAGCAATGAAGTTGTCAGATCACCACAGTTTCGGGCTTCCCTGAGCAAGATGAAGCTTGGGTAAGGGTTATTTTCTGCCCCGGGGAATTTACTCTCCAGGCAACCAAAGCTTTGGCTTCATATTTTGTCCTGGCACTTAAACAGTTAAATGCTTGTTAGTTGGGTTTACGTTTCTAGAAAAGTGGTTCTCAAACTTGAGACTGCCTCAGAATCACCAGGAGGAACAGATTCAGATTTCTGGGTCTCCATCTCTTGAGTTTTTGAGTCAGTAGATCAGGGTGGGTCCTGAAAATTTGTATTTCTCCCAGTTCCCAGTTAACCTTGGGGCTGCTGGACTGGAGACCACACTTTGAGAATTGCTAATCTAGAGCAATAATCTTTACAGTGGACTATTGGTGTGTTCAAAAACTATTAGAGTATATTCATACTCTCTTAAGACTGGAACTCTCCTATCTTTTAAGTTTTGCGGGTAAGGATTAGAACTAAAATGACAATAAACAGACATACTGTTTTGAAGTGGCTGTTCTTGCATTAGTCTTTGCTCTCAAAACGGACTTTTGAAGCTGAATATTATAATACAAATAAATGCAAATTGAGTACTTTAAAAAGTTTCTCTTTGCATTTAGTAATAATTTAATCTGTGTTATATGAGCCTTCTATCAGGGTTGGAAACCCTACCGTAAGGACCTAATGTAGTGGAAGCCTTGAGAATGTTTAACTGGAGTGGTGATGCATAATTAAAAGTTAGAAATTGTTCTTGAAAATTGGAATACTTACTGTGTGTAAAACAATAAGCTGCTGACTTTATAGAGTGTTTTTATTCTTCAGATTATCATATTAGATTCAGTCAGCCCACCAGCATTTACTGAAGATGTGACCTCAAGCCCTTGGCGAGGTGGCCACCAGCCTGGTGGCTAAGGTGAAATTATTAGAGGGAGAAGGGTTTGGGGAAGAAGCTGCTGATTGTGACGGAGGGGGATATGGGTGAGGCACTGCCCTAAGGAAACCCAACAGTAAGGGATTGACAGGCAGCTCTCAACAGTCTGGGATGTAAATTACTCATTTGGCATTAGCTGTCGAGGACAACCCATTGTGCCATTCCAGCAAGTGTTTGGAAGAACTGTTGTATGCCGGGCAGTGGGCCAAGGGCTTCCAGATGTTCCCACGTGATAATTTTTTTTTTATTCATAGAAGTATCATATACCTCTGATTTCAATTTGGAAAATATAGCAAGGTATATGGAAGAAAATAAACCCCATAATGGTGCCTCTTAGAAACAATATTGTCATACCAAATATGTTCAGTGTAATACAGATGATTAATAAGAATGAACATCTGTTGAGTATTTCCCAAATAACAAATAACTCAAGGACATTTGAGCACTTTGTATTATCTCACTTAATCTTCAAAAAAGCCCAATGAGGTAGTTACTGGGTTCATGCTCATTTAACAGATAAGGAAACAGGCATAGAGAGGCAGTAACTAGCTGGAGATCACACAGCTAATTGTTGGTTGGAGTCAGATTTGAACCCAGGTGGTCAGACTCCAAAGCCTTTTGTCTTAATTCTGTTCTACTGCCTTGTCCGTGTGGTTTTATAATGTGCTTCTCACTTTTCTTTTTCTTTTCTTGTTTTCAGCTTCAGGTGTAATTGACAAAAAGAATTGTTAGATGTTTAAAGTGTACAATATAATGATTTGATAGAAGTATATATTATGAAAGGATTCCCCCCATCAAGCTAATTAATGTATCCATCACCTCAAATGTTTATTTTTGGGGGAGTAGTGAGAACACTTAAGTTCTACTGTCTCAGCAAATTTCAGTTATACACTACAGTGTTGTTACCCTCAGACCTTGTTCATCTTAAAACAGAAAGTTTGTACCCTTTTACCAACCTCTCCCTATTACCCCGACTTCCCAGCTCCTGGCAATCACCATTCTACTCTGTTTCTAGGAGTTCAACCTTCTTTTTTTTAATTGCACATATAGGTGATACCACGCAGTATTTGTCTTTCTCTTATTTCACTTAGTCACCTCTAGGTTCATCTGTGTTGTTGCAAATGGTAGCATTTCCTTCTTTTTAAAGGCTCAATAGTCATTTGTGTGTGTGCGTGCCCGTGCGTATGTGTGTGTGTGTGTCTTACACATTTCCTTTATCCATGCATCCACTGATGGACCCTTAGGTTGTTTCTTTCCTTTGGCTGTTGTGAACAGTGCTG